GCACATGGCTGCAGCGAAGAGGGTGTTGCGCTACCTGTGCAGTACGTCGGGCATGGGGCTAGTGCTTGGAGGGCGGAGTCCAGTGGTCCTCACTGGGCACGCGGACGCGTCTTGGGCTGACGACCAGGCTACGCAGCGGTCGTCACAGGGTTACACCTTCAGCCTTGGTTCCGGCTCTGTTTCGTGGCGGGCTACTCGCTCGTCTTCTGTTCTTGGCTCTAGTTGTGAGGCTGAGATCTACGCCGGGGCCATGGCTGCACAGGAGCTTCGCTGGCTCACCTACCTGCTGACCGACCTCGGAGAGCCGCCTCGTTCTCCTCCAGTCCTGTACGTAGACAACAAGGCCATGCTGGCCTTGTGTCGAGAGCAGCGACTGGAGCACATAACAAAGCACATTGCTCTCCGCTACTTCCTTGCTCGTGAGCTACAGCAGCGTGGTCAGTTGCAGCTTGCGTACGTGGCCTCTGAGGCCAACACTGCTGATGTCTTCACCAAGGCACTTCCGCCTTGTGATCATCAGCGCTTCTGCACTCAGCTGGGTCTTGTGCCCGTCTTGCCTCACTTGCTCTCCTCTTGACCTTGCTTGTACTCTCACATATATATATATATATATACCTGCTCTTGCTTGCCTAGCTTTATATATATGTGTGTACTCTTGCATGTGAACTGGCCGTGTGGCCGTGACCCTGTGCTCGGACTGTGTGGTGACTTTGTGATCCACCCTGAGCTTGCTTTGGTTTGCTTTGCTTGACTGGTCTTGTGACCCCTTGTTCTCCCCCACTTTGCCTATGGGGGTGTGTTAGAACATTATAGCTTATGCTGTTGTGTAGGCTATAGTGGGGTATCCCATAGGGGGTACAACCTATTAGGGTTTCATATTTGTACTCACTTCGTTTCATAGTTCACCATTCTCTTGTTCTAATCTTCTCACAGCGCACAGTTCCGACTGACCCAATCCGAACTGGACGAACGGAGGAAGCAGCTCGACTACCTGCTTGAGAAAGAGTTCATTCGCCCTAGTTCGTCTCCTTTCGCAGCACCGATACTGTTCTCACCGAAAAAGGACGGGGGATCTCGCATGTGCATAGATTACAGAGCACTGAACAGGGTTACCATCAAATCCCGTTACCCCATCCCGCGAGCCGACGAACTGATCGACCAGCTGCGCACAGCCCGGGTTTTCTCGAAAATTGACCTTCGTGGAGGTTACCACCAGATTCGCGTCAACCCACCCGACTGCCCTAAGACAGCCTTCTGAACACGCTACGGATCCTTCGAATACACTGCCATGCCTTTCGGACTGACTAATGCCCCCGCCACCTTTCGAATGAACATGAACGAAGCCTTCCGCCCACTTTTAGATAAGTGCGTTATCGTGTATCTGGACGACATACTGATTTACAGCCCTGACAGAGCACAACAATTACAGGACATCGAAGTAGATTTTATAGTGAGAACCGCCTACTGACAAAAGCGTCTAAGTGTGAGTTTTTACAGGACCGACTGGAATTTTCGGGACACATCATTTCAGCTGCAGGAGTGGAAATAGACCCGAAGAAGATCGCGACGATTCAAGCATGGCACGCGCCAACCAACTTGACCGAGTTGTAGAGTTTTTTGGGGTTCGTCAACTACGTGCGCCGGTTCGTCCTCGCCATGGCGAAGCTGACAGCCCCGTTGACCGACTTGCTGAGGAAGGGGGCTGAGTACTCGTGGGGGGAGAAAGAGCAAGCTGCCTTCTCGGCCCTCAAAAATATTATGTGCTCACCGCCCGTGCTTCACATCGCAGATCCGCACCGTCCGTTCGAACTGGTCACCGACGCTAGCGACATTGCTGTGGGAGTAGTTATGCTACAGGACTTCGTGAACGGCCTTCAGCCAATCGCGTACGAGTCCCGCAAGCTTCACCCGCCCGAACGCAACTACCCGATACATGACCGCGAGATGTTGGCGATCGTGCACGCGTTCAAGGTGTGGCGATGTTACCTCAAGGGAGCAGACGTGACAGTACGGATAGACCACCGATCCCTACAGTACCTTCGCGCCCAACCGAATCTCAACCCACGACAGATCCGCTGGTTCGACTATCTGGAGTCCAACTTCCACTACACAGTCAAGTACAAAAAAGGCGCATTCAACATCGCCGACGCACTCACACGCCCCACCGCCCAACTCCACGCCATCCTACTCGCCCAAACCAACCCTCTGTTAACAGGCCTATTCACCCACGGATACAGTACCGACCCATTTTTCACGACCGGAAATTCACAGCAACTGGCAGAGGCCAAAGGCGTCTATTATGTAAAGACAGGCACCAACCGCATCTGGGTACCCGCGTACTCACTACTGAGGGAACTGTTACTGCAGGAGGCACACGACGGGATTACCTCGGGACATTTTGGGGTAGAAAAAATGCGACAGCAACTGCAGCGGTATTACTACTGGCCGGAACTGTTGACCGACGTACAGTTCACGTGGGCTCGTGTCCTACGTGTCAGGTGATGAAGAGCTCGCGAAAAAGAAAGGCGGGTCAGTTGCAGCCGATTCCACCGCCTGAGCGCGCCTGACAACAGGTTACCATGGATTTCGTCATGGGGTTACCTTCGAACCCTGGGGGTAACGACACGGTTATGGTCGTCGTTTACAGATTGACGAAGATGGCACACATCGCTGCGTGCAAGAAATTGATCTCAGCCGAAGAAACCGCTCGCCTGTTCATCGCAACCGTCGTTCGACTGCACGGGATACCAGCCGCGATAATCAGCGACCGCGACACGAAGTTCACCAGCAACTTATGGAAAAACCTCTTGGAGCAGTTCGGGACCAGGCTACAGTTCAGCTCGTCGTACCACCCCGAGACCGACGGTCAAACGGAGCGGACGAATCAGACGATGGAGCAGTTGATTCGTGCCACGTGCGACGACCCTACCACTTGGGAGCAGCAGCTGCCGCGGATTGAGTTCGCGTATAACAACGCCACGTTAGCGACGACGCAACAGTCCCCCTTCTACCTGAACTACGGGCAAAATCCTACAGTGCCCATGACGCCGAGTCCAGACAACCCAACGCCACGTGCACAACAATTCGGCGAAATTTTTGCAAGCTGCCTGCACCAGAGCCGCAGAAGCAATTAAAAAGGCCAATGTCATCGCTAAGCACAACGCTGACCGCCACCGCCGCCAAGTCACGTACCAGTCATGAGACTACGTACTGCTCGACACACAAAACTTAAGACTGTCCGTCGTACCGAAATTGCGACCCCGCTACTGTGGACCATTCCAAATCAGCCACATGATTACCCCAGTGACAGCCCACCTAATGTTGCCGACGGACTGGTACATCGGCCCTTCATTCCACGTCAGCCTGCTTCGCCCATATATCCCAACCACAAGCCAACTGCCTCGTCACTGCTCGCCATCCATGACTCGCCCTGCATCGGAGCCGATCATCGAACCCGAAAAAATCCTGAGCCATCGGATTCGACACCCCACGGGAATCGGGAGGATTGAATTCCTCGTTCGCTGGAAGGATCGCATGCCAATTGAAGATAGCTGGGTGCCCCTGGCCAACATCGAAAACCACCCTACCCTGCAAGTGTACCTGAGGAGTCGGGGTTTCCGCGATATACACGCACTCGCGTAGCGGAGGGGGCTTCTTGAGGGGGGGGGGTAGTGTAGGGAATTTTCTCGATATTCCTTAGCGCACCCTGCAACATCGCGTACAGCAGCAGCCGTTGTTCGCCCGTTACTGCTAACGGGGCTTCGCCGACTTCGCGCGCACTGCTTCACCAAACCTCACACTGCTGGCCCGGCCGTGTCGGCCTACGCTTCGGGACTAGCCCGAGCCTCGCTGCCAGCATAGCACTAGCTAGCTCGCACGCACCGCGTTACCGTTTGCATGTTTCGCGAATAAATGTTCGCTCATGCCTTCGGTCACATTTTGTACTCGTTTGACACCTTAGTCCATTTCTCACTACTTCGATTCATTGCATCCGTAACAGGGAGTTATTCCTTACACTAGAGGGAAAACAACTTTCCTCATGATGTGACGGTTCCGCATTGGTGTCGTTTCACCCAATTACGATATGTATATAGTTAAACAGGTACCACCCAGCCAAGATGTCCAGCAGGAGGGGGGATCCCAAGAAAACAGGGAGAGAATAACACACGCCAGAATTTAACGGAAATCAAAGGCCTCGGGAGGTGCAGGCTCGTCATCCTCTTCATCATCGTCAGCAGGTGGCGGCGGGGGGGGGGGAGCACCCCCCCCTCTCCCCCTCCCCCCTGCCCCTCCTCCCCCTCCGCTCCTCCTAAACGCTCCCACAGGAGCAGCAGCAGCAGCAGCAGCTGGGGCAGCAGCAGCGGCAGTCCGGGCAGCACCGGAATTCCCGGCCGCAGCAGCATTCGGCCCGTCGGTGAGCGCGAATTCTTCGGGCTGCCCGGGCTGGCAATCCTTGAGGAGCAAAAACCCCGAGGTTGGCTTCCTGATTGGTGCATAGCGGCAGGTGTCCGGGAACTTGATGTATTTTTCTTGGGCGGGCAGCACTCGGGCAGGATTGTGAAGGATTTCAGACGTTGGCTCAGCCGGTTTCTTGGCTTCAGCAGCAGCACTGGGAGTGGTCTCGGTCCCCTCAACCTGCAAAGATGGAAGGAAGGAATTGGAGGTATGACAAGAGAGGGGTCGGAGAGAGGGTGGGCGAGAGGAGTGGAGAGGGGTGAAGAAGGGTGGAACAGGTTAGAAATTGGTGGAAACCAGACAGCGAAACGGGTTGCGCATCACTACTTGGTCAAATAAAAGCCTCGATATTACGGGCTATGCATCGAGATATAGAGTGTGAGGGCGAGGAAAGCAAGAGCACGAATGCATGCAAGCGAAAGAAAGCCACGAGCGGGCGGGGAAGGGGGGGTGGGAGTGGCGGGCGGAACGGGTAACATATGTACAAGAACAGTTAGAAATCGTGGGGAAATGTGGAAGGGCAGGTGCAGACGATAAAAACTCACCTCCATAGCATCTCCTTCCTTCTTCTCCTCTCCCTTCTTCCCTCCATCCTCCTCTCCCCCCTTCACCCCATCCATCGCCCCACCCTCCCCGGCCTTCCCCTCTCCCCCATCCTTCTTCTCCTCCTCCTTCTCCTTCTTCTCCTCCTTCTCCTTTGCCCTCCCCTTCGCCCTCGCAGCAGTCGACAGCACCGCAACCGGAGCCTTCACGGCAGTGCTGCTACTCGCCACAACAGCGGGCGGCGGGTACGCAAACAACCCCGGGCGGCACTCCGAAACGAAATCAAATTTCGGCGCTTTGAGATCCCCCTGAAGCCCGACGAGTGCCGTTGCAGAGAAGGAGAGAGAGAGGAAGTGCAGCAGCGGGAACCAGTACCAGTACTGCGTGAAAAGAGCCATGCCGATGACGGCGGTTACGCGGTCGTAGCCCGAGCGGGAGCGCAGCGAGATGGTGACGTTGCGGCCGCCTGCGTCGAGGATTCCGGAAGCGAGAATGGCGCCCATCTTGCACATGGTGTCCTCGTGCTTGTCGTGAATCGCCTTCTCAAGTTGGCGCCTGGAGAGCACAGGGGGTGACAGTGTATGGTAGTGGGGGACAGCGGGGAAGTGAGTGGGAGAGACAGAATGGCGCCCATCTTGCACATGGTGTCCTCATGCTTGTCGTGAATGGCCTTTTCAAGCTGACGCCTGGGAGGAGACAGATGGGGAAGACGGGGGTAACAGCGCATGGAGCAGGGAACAGCGGGGAAGTGAGTGGGGGACAGCGAGAATGGCGCCCATCTTGCACATGGTGTCCTCGTGCTTGTCGTGAATGGCCTTCGCGAGCTGACGCCTGGAAGGGGAGGAGGTAGAAGGAGAGAGTGTTTTTGAGACGTCTCAAAAACAACCTCGCTTCACGGGGAGGAGGTAGAAGGAGAGAGTGTTTCTGAGACGTCTCACCGCCTGAGCGCGCCTGGCACCTCCTCTCTCCCCCTCTCTCTAGAAAGCTCACCCCTCAGCTGAAGGTCCACCCGTCACCTGAAGGTCCAGCCGTCACCTGAAGGTCCAGCCGTCACCTGAAGGTCCAGCCGTCACCTGAAGGTCCAGCCGTCACCTGAAGGTCCAGCCGTCACCTGAAGGTCCAGCCGTCACCTGAAGGTCCAGCCGTCACCTGAAGGTCCAGCCGTCACCTGAAGGTCCAGCCGTCACCTGAAGGTCCAGGCGTCACCTGAAGGTCCAGCCGTCACCTGAAGGTCCACCCGTCACCTGAAGGTAAAGCCGTCACCTGAAGGTCCACCCGTCACCTGAAGGTCCAGGCGTCACCTGAAGGTCCAGCCGTCACCTGAAGGTCCACCCGTCACCTGAAGGTCCACCCGTCACCTGAAGGTCCACCCGTCACCTGAAGGTCCAGGCGTCACCTGAAGGTCCAGCCGTCACCTGAAGGTCCAGCCGTCACCTGAAGGTCCACCCGTCACCTGAAGGTCCAGCCGTCACCTGAAGGTCCAGCCCGTCACCTGAAGGTCCAGCCGTCACCTGAAGGTCCAGCCGTCACCTGAAGGTCCAGCCGTCACCTGAAGGTCCGCCCGTCACCTGAAGGTCCACCCGTCACCTGAAGGTCCACCCGTCACCTGAAGGTCCAGCCGTCACCTGAAGGTCCAGCCGTCACCTGAAGGTCCAGGCGTCACCTGAAGGTCCAGCCGTCACCTGAAGGTCCAGCCGTCACCTGAAGGTCCAGCCGTCACCTGAAGGTCCACCCGTCACCTGAAGGTCCACCCGTCACCTGAAGGTCCAGCCGTCACCTGAAGGTCCAGCCGTCACCTGAAGGTCCACCCGTCACCTGAAGGTCCAGGCGTCACCTGAAGGTCCAGCCGTCACCTGAAGGTCCACCCGTCACCTGAAGGTCCACCCGTCACCTGAAGGTCCACCCGTCACCTGAAGGTCCAGGCGTCACCTGAAGGTCCAGCCGTCACCTGAAGGTCCACCCGTCACCTGAAGGTCCACCCGTCACCTGAAGGTCCACCCGTCACCTGAAGGTCCAGGCGTCACCTGAAGGTCCAGCCGTCACCTGAAGGTCCAGCCGTCACCTGAAGGTCCAGCCGTCACCTGAAGGTCCAGCCGTCACCTGAAGGTCCACCCGTCACCTGAAGGTCCACCCGTCACCTGAAGGTCCACCCGTCACCTGAAGGTCCAGCCGTCACCTGAAGGTCCAGCCGTCACCTGAAGGTCCAGCCGTCACCTGAAGGTCCAGGCGTCACCTGAAGGTCCAGCCGTCACCTGAAGGTCCAGCCGTCACCTGAAGGTCCAGCCGTCACCTGAAGGTCCAGCCGTCACCTGAAGGTCCACCCGTCACCTGAAGGTCCACCCGTCACCTGAAGGTCCAGCCGTCACCTGAAGGTCCAGCCGTCACCTGAAGGTCCAGCCGTCACCTGAAGGTCCACCCGTCACCTGAAGGTCCACCCGTCACCTGAAGGTCCAGCCGTCACCTGAAGGTCCAGCCGTCACCTGAAGGTCCAGCCGTCACCTGAAGGTCCAGCCGTCACCTGAAGGTCCAGCCGTCACCTGAAGGTCCACCCGTCACCTGAAGGTCCAGCCGTTACCTGAAGGTCCAGCCGTCACCTGAAGGTCCAGCCGTCACCTGAAGGTCCAGCCGTCACCTGAAGGTCCACCCGTCACCTGAAGGTCCAGCCGTCACCTGAAGGTCCGCCCGTCACCTGAAGGTCCAGCCGTCACCTGAAGGTCCACCCGTCACCTGAAGGTCCAGCCGTCACCTGAAGGTCCACCCGTCACCTGAAGGTCCAGGCGTCACCTGAAGGTCCAGCCGTCACCTGAAGGTCCAGCCGTCACCTGAAGGTCCACCCGTCACCTGAAGGTCCAGCCGTCACCTGAAGGTCCAGCCGTCACCTGAAGGTCCACCCGTCACCTGAAGGTCCAGCCGTCACCTGAAGGTCCAGCCGTCACCTGAAGGTCCAGGCGTCACCTGAAGGTCCAGGCGTCACCTGAAGGTCCAGCCGTCACCTGAAGGTCCACCCGTCACCTGAAGGTCCACCCGTCACCTGAAGGTCCAGCCGTCACCTGAAGGTCCACCCGTCACCTGAAGGTCCACCCGTCACCTGAAGGTCCACCCGTCACCTGAAGGTCCAGCCGTCACCTGAAGGTCCAGCCGTCACCTGAAGGTCCAGCCGTCACCTGAAGGTCCACCCGTCACCTGAAGGGCACGACGCGGGGCTCTCGCTCCTGGGAGCACTGCATAAGAACCATTGCCGTAGCCATCACCGCCCCCTGCCGCACAAAGTCCACCCCGTCCGATGTGAGCGGCTCCAGCAGGTCCAGGGCGCTCCGCTGGGCCGTGCCGGCGCATGCAATGCCGACCGCCATGGCTGCCCCGTAGCGCACGTGGGGATTGAAGGACTCCGCGAGTAAAGAGACCATTCGGGGGACCTGCAAAGCAAGTGGTGGAGGGCGGTGCAAAGGAGAGAGAGGGGTTGAAAATGGTACAACACAGGTCAAACGGGGTGCGGGAGTGGCTCCAGCAGGTTGAGGGCGCTGCGCTGCGCCGTGCCGGCGCATGCAATGCCGACTGCCATGGCTGCCCCGTAGCGCACGTGGGGGTTGAAGGACTCGGCTAGGAGAGAGACCATTCGGGGGACCTGAGAAGGAGGGAGAGAGGTGGAGCGCGGTACAAGGGTTAGGATGAGCCGTGCCGGCGCAGGCTATGCCGACCGCCATGGCTGCCCCGTAGCGCACGTGGGGATTGAATGACTTGGCTAGGAGAGAGACCATGCGAGGGGCCTACAAAGAAAGAAGGAGAGAGAGGGGTGGAAAGCGGTACAAGAGTCAAACGGGGTGACCGGCGCATGCGATGCCGGCTGCCATGGCTGCCCCGTAGCGCACGTGGGGGTTGAAGGACTCGGCTAGGAGGGACACCATGCGGGGTACCTGCAAGGGGGGGAGGGAGAGCGGCAAAGAGTGGTGTAAGGGGAGAGGGAGTGGTGAGGCACGGTACACAGGAAGAGTGAGCGGTGCAGGGTGATGCAAGGGCAGAGTGAGGAAGAGGCTCCAGCAGGTCCAGCGCGCTTCGCTGCGCCGTGCCGGTGCAGGCTATGCCGACTGCCATGGCTGCCGCGTAGCGTAGCACAGCGCAGCATAGCAGAGAGAGTGGGAGGGACAGAATATAGCGTGCTTCACGCACTGCTTCTCTCTCACCTGATCCGGCTCCGCACAGAGAACAAAGCCCAGGCACAGCACAGCAGCGAGAGAGCGACACACAAACAGCAACCTCCCTCACCATAACCTTTCTCTCCCTTGCTCTCACTTGATCTGGCTCAGCACAGAGAACAAAGCCCAGGCACAGCACGGCGGCGCGCCTGACGTCATCGCTGACGTCACTGACGGCAAAGTGCAGAAGCTGCCGAATGGCGCCGTTGTTGGCGGTGCCGCGGTAGGCCATGGCGATGGCGTACATGCCGCCGTAGCGCAGGATCGGGTCGGCGTCCGTCGTCATTTGCTGGATGAGAATATCGGCCTCTTCCTCCCGGCCGTAAACGACCAGGGAAATCCCCACCGCCAGGCCTCTGGTGGATTCTCAGCAGAAAAATCCGGAGGAAGGGGAGCAGATAGGAGAAAGGGAGGGGAAGGTTGAGGAAGGAAAGCTGGCGAATGGCGCCGTTGTTGGCGGTGCACAGTTTTGTGGGCATAAGCCAGCATCTCCGCTGCTACCTGCGTGTGTGTATCGTTCTCCTGTGATTGCGTATGTGCACCCTCACAACCATTCCCCTTTTGAGACGTCTCAAATGTGTATCGTTCTCCTGTGTTTGCGTATGTGCACCCTCACAACCATTCCCCCACCTGATAATCTTTTCATGCTGCGTGTCATGGGCATAAGCCAGCATCTCCGCCACCCGCTCGCTGTGTGTGTGTGAGTGCGTGTGTGTGTGTGTGTGTGTGTGTGTTTGGTGCGGATAGTCCCCTAACCCCCTAGTCAACCTGTCCCCACCTGATGATCTTCTCGTGCTGCGTGTCATGGGCATAAGCCAGCATCTCCGCCCGCCGCTACTGGATGAAATAGAACTGCCCACCGTATGTGCACCCTCACAACCATCCCCCCACCTGATGATCTTCTCGTGCTGCGTGTCATGGGCATAAGCCAGCATCTCCGCCCGCCGCTACTGGATGAAAGAGAACTGCCCACCGTATGTGCACCCTCACAACCATCCCCCCACCTGATGATCTTCTCGTGCTGCGTGTCATGGGCATAAGCCAGCATCTCCGCCCGCCGCTACTGGATGAAAGAGAACTGCCCACCGTATGTGCACCCTCACAACCATCCCCCCACCTGATGATCTTCTCGTGCTGCGTGTCATGGGCATAAGCCAGCATCTCCGCCCGCCGCTACTGGATGAAAGAGAACTGCCCACCGTATGTGCACCCTCACAACCATCCCCCCACCTGATGATCTTCTCATGCTGCGTGTCATGGGCATAAGCCAGCATCTCCGCCCGCCGCTACTGGATGAAAGAGAACTGCCCACCGTATGTGCACCCTCACAACCATCCCCCCACCTGATGATCTTCTCGTGCTGCGTGTCATGGGCATAAGCCAGCATCTCCGCCCGCCGCTACTGGATGAAAGAGAACTGCCCACCGTATGTGCACCCTCACAACCATCCCCCCAACTGATGATCTTCTCGTGCTGCGTGTCATGGGCATAAGCCAGCATCTCCGCCCGCCGCTTCTGGATGAAAGAGAACTGCCCACCATATGTGCACCCTCACAACCATCCCCCCACCTGATGATCTTCTCGTGCTGAGTGTCATGGGCATAAGCCAGCATCTCCGCCGCCACAACTGGATGAAAAGAGTACCGGACACAGTGTCTGTGTGTGCCTGTATGCTTATCCCCTAACCCCCTCGTCACCCTGCCCTCACCTGATGATCTTCTCATGCTGCGTGTCATGGGCATAAGCCAGCATCTCATACATGTGTGCGAGAATCATTATACATGTGACCTCACAACCACCCCCCCACCTGATGATCTTGTCGTGCTGCGTGTCATGGGCATAAGCCAGCATCTCATACATGTGTGCGAGAATCATTATACATGTGACCTCACAACCACCCCCCCACCTGATGATCTTGTCGTGCTGCGTGTCATGGGCATAAGCCAGCATCTCATACATGTGTGCGAGAATCATTATACATGTGACCTCACAACCACCCCCCCACCTGATGATCTTGTCGTGCTGCGTGTCATGGGCATAAGCCAGCATCTCATACATGTGTGCAAGTATCACTATACATGTGACCTCACAACCACCCCCCACCTGATAATCTTCTCGTGCTGCGTGTCATGGGCATAAGCCAGCATCTCCGCCGCCCGCTCGCTCGCCGTCCCAACTAGCAGCAGCCCCATGGCAATCCCTGCTGCCTCGCCCGCAACAGCGCTGTCAGTGTAGAGAACGCTCTTCACGTCCTCATACACCTCCTCATCGCCGGTGCCCATCGCCGCCAGACCCACGCCCAGGCACGCGCCATGCTGGATTGTCTGCTCAGGGTTTGACGGGTTGAGGGGTTTTGGGTTGAAGGGAGTGAGCAGTGGGTGCAGGGTGGGGTGCCACGGCGCTGTCAGTGTAGAGCACGCTCTTCACGTCCTCATACACCTCCTCATCGCCGGTGCCCATCGCCGCCAGACCCACGCCCAGGCACGCGCCATGCTGGATTGTCTGCTCAGGGTTTGACGGGTTGAGGGGTTTTGGGTTGAAGGGAGTGAGCAGTGGGTGCAGGGTGGGGTGCCACGGCGCTGTCAGTGTAGAGCACGCTCTTCACGTCCTCATACACCTCCTCATCGCCGGTGCCCATCGCCGCCAGACCCACGCCCAGGCACGCGCCATGCTGGATTGTCTGCAGGGTTCAGGGTTTAAGGGGCAGTTAGGGGTTGCGGGGCGGGGGATAAGGGGGTGGGTGCGGGGTGGGGGATAAGGGGGTGGGTGCGGGGTGGGGTGGCACGGCGCTGTCAGTGTAGAGCATGCTCCTCACGTCCTCATACACCTCCTTGTCGCCCGTGCCCATCGCCGCCAGACCCACTCCCAGGCATGCGCCATGCTGGATCGTCTTCTCAGGGTTTTGGGATTAAGTGTTATGTATTCTAAGGGGTTGAAGGGTAATGTGGCCAAAATTAGATTGCAGTTCGGGAATGCTTGACAGACCTGCTGCACTCATCTACTTCATTGAAACCCGAAACCTTTGGTCCCTGCCCCTGAGCGCACCTTGTTGCTGGTGTTGTGGAGAGCTCTCCAGCAGGAATCTCTTTTGATACTTAAACCCTGAACCTCTCACCCCGTGTCCCCCGCCCTACACACACCTCGTTGCTGGTGTTGCGGAGGCTCTCGAGCAGAAACCCCTTGATGCTCTCCCCGTGGTTAGCATGAATGAGCCCCAGAGCATACAGCGCCCCGCCCTCCGAATACGCACTCCCACTCAGGCCCCCTGCTCCCCCGCCTGCTGCCCTCCCTGCTGCCCTGCCCCACCTGTTGTCCCACCTGCTTCCCTACCTGCTGCCCCTAGCCTCTGCCGCCCCCAAACGTTCCCCCAAACCGAAACCCTAAACCCCGCCCTACCTCATTGCTGGTGTTGCGGAGGCTCTCGAGCAGGAACCCCTTGATGCTCTCCCCGTGGTTAGCATGAATGAGCCCCAGAGCGTACAGCGCCCCGCCCTCCGAATACGCACTCCCACTCAGCCCGCCCGCTGCCCCTGCGCTGCCCCCAGCCCGTGGGGCAGGTAGGGGGCCATGAGGGAGCGCCCCTGCTGCAGGTGGCCCCTGTGGATCACCCCCAGCCCGGCTGTGGCGCTCAGCTTCGCCCAGTTGGTCGCCCGGCTCAACCAGTCCTGCATTGAAAGAGAGGGATGGGAGGATTAGATCGGAATAAGGGGTAGAGATGAGGGACATGAGCAAGCGCCCCTGCTGCGAGCGCCCCTGCTGCAGGTGCCCCCTGTGGATCACCCCCAGGCCGGCTGTGGCACTCAGCTTCGCCCAGTTGGTCGCTCAGCTCAGCCAGTCCTGAACAGAGGGAGTGGGGTAGGAGGTTGAGATCGGGATAGGGGGTTGGTATGAGACACATACATGAGGGAGCGCCCCTGCTGCAGGTGCCCCCTGTGATGAATCATCCCCAGCCCGGCTGTAGCGCTTAGCTTCGCATGCATGAGCATGAGTGCATGCATGAGCATGAGTGCATGCATGAGCATGAGTGCATGCATGAGCATGAGTGCATGCATGAGCAAGAGTGAATGCATGAGCATAAGTGCATGCATGAGCAAGAGTGCATGCATGAGCATAAGTGCATGCATGAGCAAGAGTGCATGCATGTGCATAAGTGCATGCATGAGCAAGAGTGCATGCATGAGCATAAGTGCATGCATGAGCAAGAGTGCATGCATGAGCATAAGTGCATGCATGAGCAAGAGTGCATGCATGAGCATAAGTGCATGCATGATCCTCAGCGCACTTACCAGGTTGTCTCTGAGGAAAGTGTCGACTGTCATGCCCGCATGGATGAATGCGTTGGCTACAGGGAGAGGCAGGCATGCATGATTATACGCATGCTCACCAGGTTGTCTCTGAGGAAGGTGTCAACTGTCGTGCCAGCGTGCATGAACGCGTTGGCTACGATGGTGGCGCTGTGGCACACGCTGTTGCGCGTCTCCACCACCTGCTTGATCGCCTTCAGCACTCCCAGGTCCGCCCTGCAAGGTAAGACGATAGAAAGAGAAACAAAGGGTGTTAAGTGGTATGGCGAATGTTGCTACACCACGATGGCAGTGCTGTGCTGTGGCACACGCTGTTCCTCGACTCCACCATCTGCTTGATCGCCTTCAGCACTCCCAGGTCCGCCCTGCAGGTAACACAAACACAGAGAGCATGACTGGCCACTCACTTGTTGTGGCTGTACAGGCAAGAACTGCAGGGTGAGGCCGATCGGTGCAATGCTGGTACGCAACCTAAGCAACACAAGCACTAACAATTTTATTCAACAACAAAGCAGTACTCACTTGTTGTGGCTATACAGGAACTGCAGGGTGAGGCCGATCGGAGTCTCCCCCGTCAGAATCCCCTTAAGCTTCGCCAGTCGCTCTGCATACACCACCTCCTCGCTCGGCGCAACTTCGGCAGCTGCCTCGCCCTCCCCCGAACCTGCAGCTTCGGCCGAACCAGAACCAGCTGCCTCGGTAGTGTCCATGGTGCTTGTCCCGTCAACCTCGGCAGCAGGTTTGGCTGCCCCATCTTCAGCAGCTGCTGTAGCCGTATCTGTCGCCTCTCCGCCCTCTGCCTTTGCTGCTCCTTCTCCCTCCTTCCCTTCCTCCGTCTCCATTGCTGCAGCCGCATCGGTTGCACCAGCAGCACTGCCTCCCTCAGCTGCTGCGGCGCCTGTTACAGCATCACCAGCAGCAGCCACCTCAGCACCGCATCAGGGGCAGCAGCAGCAGAAGCACCATCCGCCTCCGGAGCAGCAGCAGCAACAGCGGCATCGGCATCAGCAGAAGCCGGAACAGCCGGGGCAGGCGCAAGCCGGGGGGCGGCGGGTCAGGCAGAGCATCCCTCACAGACAGCAGGAACTGCTGAAACTCGTTCTCAAACAGGTCAAAGGCGACCTGGTACGCTAATAAAGCGTCCGACTCGTTCTGCCCCTTGATGAGTCGGTCCAGTGTCGCCGCCACCCCTGCTGCGTCGCTGAGGAACATGAGCATCTGGCATATGCTGCCGTAGTCGGGGGTCTCTGCCTGCTGATATAGACGCACCAATGTTGACAAAACCTGGGGAATGAACAACGGAGAGGGGCAAGGGGTAAGGAGAGGAGGGAGTCGCTGAGGAACATGAGCATCTGGCATATGCTGCCGTAGTCGGGGGTCTCTGCTTGCTGGTGCAGCCGCACCAGTGTGGACAGCACCTGGGGAGGCGCGGGGAAAGAGGGGGGGGGCGCCAAGGAAGGAGAGGGCAAGGGGGAAGGGCAAGGGGAAAGGGCAAAAGGAGCCACGGAGGAAGAGAGCATCTGACACGTGGCTTCTGACACGTGCGCAGCCTTGTATGAGCACTCTGCCTGCTGGTAAAACACATCAGCAAGTGATTGAGATTGAGAACACCAAGGCATACAGGTGGCAGGATGAAGAGAGGGCGCAGGGAGGGTGATGAGGGGCGCAGGGAGGGTGAAGAGAGGGCGAGGGAGAGGGTGATGAGAGGGCGAGGGAGAGGGTGAAGAGAGGGCGAGGGAGAGGGTGAAGAGAGGGCGAGGGAGAGGGTGATGAGAGGGTGAAGGAGAGCAAGAGAAGGCGAGGGTCGGGTGCAGTACCTGCTGCCGGAATTGTCGGCGGTTGACAAGGGAATGAGAGACCTGCACGGGAGGTAAGCAACAGCAAGGCAGGCAGGAAACGCAGCAGCAAACAGGGGGGTGAGGGATGAAATGAAAAGCAAGTGCCAAGTGTGCCTGTGTGCGGGGAAAGGGGACGGACAGGATGGAAGTTCATTTCAAAGTTGGCAAACGAGCAAGATTTTTTCAGAAGCATATGTGAATACGTTGAGAAGCAGGCGCGGTGAACACTGAGCAGCAGGTGCGGGTTAATGAGTGGGTGAGTAAATATCAGCCTACCTGCAGGCAGTAGGCGAGCAGCGAGCGCGAGTTGCCACTCCTGGCGACAGCCGCCTCCGCTTGTCAAGTCGGCGGCACTCCAGCGAGCAGGAAAGTCAACAGAAGTCAACTCACCTGCAGGCAGTAGGCGAGCAGGGAGCGAGAGTTGCCACTCCTGGCGACGGCAGCCTCGAGCTTGTCAAGGCGAGGGCACTCCAGCGAGCAGGAAAGTCAATCAAAGTCAACGGAAGTCAACCCACCTGCAGGCAGTATGCGAGCAGCGAGCGCGAGTTGCCACGCCTGGCAACGGCAGCCTCAAGCTTGTCAAGTGAAATTCACCCTACTGAAACTAAGCCCCCAGAAAGTCAATGCAATTCTTGGTTGAGTAAAAATCAACCCACCTGCAGGCAGTATGCGAGCAGCGAGCGCGAGTTGCCACGCCTGGCAACGGCAGGCTCCAGCTTGTAAACAAACTCCGCTTTAGTGAGACCACGACCCAAAAAGGTAGTGCATTTTTGGCTGAGCTCGCCCTAACGGATAAGTGAGAACTGCCTACCTACAGGCAATAGGCGAGCAGGGAGCGAGAGTTGCCACTCCTGGCAACGGCAGCCACGAGCTTGTCAAGGCGGCGGCACTTCCAGCGCGCAGGGAAGTCAACAGAAGTCAACGGAAGTCAAAAGAAATCAACCCACCGGCAGGCAGTAGGCGAGCAGCGAGCGCGAGTTTGCCACTCCTGGCGACGGCAGCCTCGAGCTTGTCAAGGCGGCGGCACTCCAGCGCACAGAGAAGTCAACAGAAGTCAACGGAGGTCAACCTACCTGGAGGCAGTAGGCGAGCAGGGAGCGAGAGTTGCCACTCCTCGCAACGGCAGCCTCGAGCTTGTCAAGGCGGCGGCACTCCAGCGCCACTCCGATGGCCTGCTGGAACTGACGCTCCTCAATGCAGCTGGAATGAGGGTAGAGAGGCAAGGGGAGAGGTGAGAGGGGTGGGGAAGGTGGCGAATAAAGAGGAGTGAAACGGTCACTGACTGCAGGTCAGTTATCCTCTCGCACATGCATGCAGCAAGGGCAGCAAGAGCAGCACTCACTTGTCGAGCATCCTCTCTACGATGGCCATGAGGCCGCGGGTCAAGAGGAGTGATAACGGTCACACACACCAGGTCAGCCTTTCCGCTTGAACATGCATGTGAATCATCACAACAACAAGAGCACCGCTCACTTGTCCAGCATCCTCTCTACGATGGCCACGAGGCGCGGGTCAAGAGGATAGTCGGCGTCGGGGTCATGGGAATCCACACAGCAGGTTGGCCCTCCTCTCGCACATGCACGTTAATCATCCCAAGCAGCACAAGCACTCACTTGTCCAGCATCCTCTCTACGATGGCCACGAGGCGCGGGTCAAGCGGATAGTCGGCGTCGGGGTCATGGAATCCACACAGCAGGTTGGCCCTCCTCTCGCACATGCACGTTAATCATCCCAGCAGCACAAGCACTCACTTGTCCAGCATCCTCTCTACGATGGCCACGAGGCGCGGGTCAAGAGGATAGTCGGCGTCAGGGTCATGGGAGTCGGCGCGCTTGACACTGAGATCCATGTACTCGTCAATGCACTTGGCTGCAGGGGGCATGGGGCATGGGGCAATAGGGCATGGGGAGACCCAAGGATAACACATGGAGCATTGGGTCGAGTGGATAGTCGGCGTCGGGGTCATGAGAGTCGGCGCGCTTGACACTCAAATCCATGTACTTGTCAATGCACTTTGCTGTAAGGGGCACAGCGAAAACAAAATAGTAGCGGGGAATGATCCACAGGGCAATGAGGGACACAGGAATAGCACAGGGGGGCGAATGGTGCATGACATTCTGAAAACTAAGATCCATGTACTTGTCAATGCACCCATGTACCCATGTACCCACGCACCCATGCGCCCGTTCGCCCATGCACCCACGCACGCACCAATGAGCGTCTGCACGTATTCCGAGTCCTCCGAGACGTCAAAGAGGGACCCCGCGCCAAGCGCGTACGTGAGCGAGTCGGTGAGCTCGCCCAGATAGTAAAACACCTGCACAGGTGAACCCATGCACGCATACGAGAGGAAAGGTTGAAGTTCGTTTGCACTGCGTTTGAGCACAAATATGGGAGCACTAGAGAGTCGGTGAGCTCGCCCAGATAGTAGAACACCTGCATACGCGCATGCACGAGCGGGACAAGAAAGAGCAGAGTTGAAGTTGGTTCACACAGTGTTAATTGAGCACACTGTGGGAGAGCACTTCAAAGTCGCTCCCCCAGATAGTAGTAGAACACCTGCAGAGGCGCATGCACGCGCGGGACAGAAGGAATGATGTCAGTTGATTCAGTCAGTCTTGATTCAGTCAGAGGGAGCACTCAAGAGTGGGTGGGCTGGCCCCAGATCGTAGAACGGACCGACAGAAACACCAGCATTTGTGCAAGGACAAGGGGGTAGGTAATAAAGAGTCAAGCGAATTACTGAGGAGGGGACACAGTACAGACCATGCTATACGATGTCGTCAGAGAGAAATAGTTCTGAGACAGCAACTGATCCATACCGTGAACATCTGATGGGCACCTGATACTGACGAATACCTCATGAAAACCTGAAGAACACCTGATGGATTCTTGAAAAGCACCTGAAGAAGGCCAGACAATAATTACCTTGGAGGCCAGAAGAGCCGCCCAGCTCGCGATGGTCTAACGTCCTCATCCTCGTACAAGCTCTCACTGAACAGATTCAACCGAGAATAAAGACGGGGAAAATAACGTAACAGACATGCTTACTCGTCTTCGAATGTACAAACACAACGGATAGAGGCACGCGTAACGCACTGGTTACACTGTTGAAGGGCGACGAGGTTAGGCGTGGAGTAAGATGTGCGAGTAACCACATCCACGATCTACAAATCTACAAACTTAGTCAATATACGAAGTGAGCATTTCGCAAAGCGACTGAGCGGCCAGAATGGTTTGTCTGAGACTCCTGAACTACCAACGACTCTTGTCTGACAACTTTGTTTGAGTCCTGACAAATTCCGTCTACCCAATATGACATCTGTCCACCTGCACCAGATTATCGAACCGACTAAATACCCAGAATGATACTAAAGTCGACCTAATGGCACGCAACAACCTATCCAATTCCGTGTGATGGAATTCAACATGTCATGGAGGCACCATAAACCGAAATTCGCCAAGTGAGGTCCACTAGCTTCCCGATCCATATAGACCAAACCAGCGAGGGAGAGGTTTTCCGACCTCCGTCTCATAATCACTAGGAAAGTCGAATTCTCGTAAAAGTAAGCTGTCCATATAAGAAAATTCACAAACATCTCTGACATAAGGATCTCACAGGCTGGAAACTGATTGAATACTACTCGCTTCGTCCTTAATCATAACGAATCTTCACGATTATGTAGGCCAGCCTACCACGAACGAAGAAAAATGGTTATGACCAAAAGCGACACGGCACAGCTGAAGCTCGAGGTCAGGCCACCCGCGATCTCGATCTGATCGGCTAGCGTTTTCGCATACGCCTTGTCACGGTCGACTGATTTAATCCCCTCAAAGGCCAAATTCTCGTACATCCACCGTCGCGGTCGTGTGGCGTGCGAAACCTAGTTGCTAGAGTGTCGACACGCTTATAATCCCAAGCTGAAACACCGGAATGTCAGACTATCAAGCCAATATTTCACGCTACGAAGACGATCGATTGGTCGCAGCTGGCGTCTAAATCGGGGATTTACATTATAGATCTATAATCTATAATAGTCCTGCAATTACCTATGCTAAAATCGCAGGCTAAAGCTCAAACTCCTAACGAGAGACTGGCTACAGAAGCAGATTAGTAAGAACGCGCGGGCTTCAAGGTATCGAGGAGATTAACTACGTCCTTACATGGTGGAGATGTTCGCGGAGATCTCGGCCCAGAACTGGCCGACGAGCAGATTCAGATTCTTAAGAGCGTACACGCGGAGAGCCGGTTCTTCCTCGTCGAGCATGGCCAGCAGGCCGCTCGCACTGGTAATGACCGTCATGGCTGCGACTAGAACCGCGAATCGGCTCCGATCGGCGATTTGACAATCCTGGTTCTTGGTTCTAGTCTGGATCGGGAATTAGAGCCGTTAGAGGCTCCGTACAGCCGAATCTCGGAATGAACTGTTCTCAGCTGCCTGCTTGCTCTAATTCAAGCAGGATTCGCGATGTGTCAGCGAACTGGCGATACAGCAGGAACTGTTCGATGTTGCTGTTTCGGTGGTGTTACAAGAGACAATGTGATATTTCACTAAATATAGAATGAAGCACAACTGCTATCGATATAGTGGCGAGTGCTTCTACAGTAAGAAAATTCCACCGTGAAATGGGCTTGTGATTCGTGATAGTGTCAGCAAATCAACAACAGCTCGTGACCAGCTTCGAACATTGGTGGGTTTAGGGAACTAATACTTATGCGTTTCACTGCTTCCAGACTACCACGAAAAAAACATTGCACCTGACCAAACCATACAAAGCCGATTTTACCTTAACAAATGAAACTCTCGCGTTTTGAACTTGCTTCAGCTATGGGTAGCAGAATTTGATCTCACTTCAGCCAGGCTGTAACATATCCAATGAAACGGTACTTGGTGTGATGTTCTACCATCCTAGTTGGAGGATGTGCAACCAGGATATGACTCACAATTTCAAACATCAGCAACCTGCATTCTTCAATTCTGGTGTCTACAATGACAATGCACCAAGAGTAGACCACCTGCGTAGGGTATTGAACAAACACATCTGGTACAGTTCAAAATTGGTTCTTCAGTTGTCGACGAAACTTACCGTATTTGCCACTGCACGTTACTTCTGAAAAGGATTCGGTGCTGTGGATGACCCTGAAGGCTTTCCGAAAGTTGCCGTACTGCCAGTAGGGTTTGCTAAGTTAAATGGCGGAGGGGAGGGGAAGGGAGATGGCTGTCCAGCAGCAGCAGAAGCAGCAGCAGCAGCAGCAGCTGCAGAGGAGCTGTCTGGGCCCTTTTGGGAGAAAGGACTGGAGGGAGTTGCAGATGCGAAAGAGAAAGCTGGCGCTGATGACCCGAATGCTGGCGCTGACGATCCGAACACTGGCGCTGATGTCGCAAATGCTGGCGCTGACGATCCAAATGCTGGCGCTGACGATGCAAATATGCTTGATGCTGATGGCTGGCTTGGTGCAATAGCAGCTTGGCTTGAAGGTGCTCCTGTTGCTGCCGCTGCTTTCACCTCAGGAAAGGGCCTGTATGCAGAACCAGAAAAAAGAGACAATACAGTGTTGAGGCGAGAGAAGAGGAAGTGAAGGAATAGAAAGCAGCTATTGGTAGTTATAGCGTGAAGGGCGACCAACACCCACTGATATCTCAGCTCTTGGCAGCATCAGCAGCCTTCAATAAGCTTCCAGGATAACACTTTCATCCCATGTGCTCGCCTGAACACACCAACCGAGTCCTTGAAAACTGCAGCAGGCTTGCTGTTGCTGCCCTATGGAACATCACCATAGCACGCAGGGTCTGGTAACCGGGTAACCCTGCATAGTGCTCACCTGAACACACCAACCGAGTCCTTGAAAGCTGCAGCAGGCTCGTTGCTGCTCCCGCTGTTGGTGCTGCTGACAGTGGAATGACTCACGCCCTTGGGCTCACCGAATGGTCTGGTAACCAGGTAACACTGAAGTGCTCACCTGAACACACCAACCGAGTCCTTGAAAGCTGCAGCAGGCTCGTTGCCGGTGGTGGTGCTGGTGGTGAAATGACCCACGCCCTTGGGCTTACCAAACGAAGGCACCCCACCTCCCCGAACAAAGCGCTTCCTCCTGATTGGCTACCCCCTCCGAACAAAATGCTTCCCGAACCAAACAACGGGGCTGCCGAACCAGCAGGACCGGCAGCAGCAGCAGTAGCTGAAGCTGTTGCAGCAGCAGAAGAACCACCACCAGCAGCAGCAGCACTCGGGCCCTTATCACCACCAGCACCACTCAATCCTCCCTCTGTCCCACCCCTGGCATTCTCCTGTGACTGTGTGGTATCAGGCTCTGATCCGTCTTGAGAAACCCGCATGCCAAACAGGGGGTTCTGATGCAACACCTGCGCATTTCCCAGGGGTACTGGCGCTGTTGCCCCCTTTGCTAAGGGCACTGGACTGGTGCCTACGGGTCCTTGCTGCCCAAACTGCCCAGATCCAAAAAGTTTTCGCTGAAGCGGGAGCTCTGATTGGCTGGGAGCAGTGGGAGCAGCTGTAGCAGTTGAAGTGAAAGGCGGAGGGGAGGCAGGAACTGCTGGAAAGGAGAAGAGTGACAGTGGTGGCTGCTGCTGCTGCTGCTGCTGCTGCTGCTGCTGCTGCTGCTGCTGCTGATGTTGCTGCTGCTGTTGAGATTTGCTAGAGGATTTCGGGAACGAGAGGGGAGAACCTGAGAGGGATGCTGCACCCGCCCCACCACAAAGTATCGGAGAGCCGAAGTGGGGTGCGGGAGCAGCTTTGGGAGAGGAGGCCTTAGCTGAAGGCGACTGAACTGGCTGCATGGGCTTGCGTGGCAGGGCTGTAGCGGAAGGAACTTTGGTGATTGCTTTGGGTTGACTTCTGGCGTCTGGCTTGACTAGTCCTGTTCTGGCTGGGATGGCTGTGGTGGTTGTGGTGGGGAAGGCAGAGGGTTCGCCATGTGCTTGGACGATCTGCTGGTGCTCGGAAGGAGCGATGAGTCGAAGCACTGACTCCTGGGGAAGGGGAAGAAGGGAGAGGGAGGTGGGGAGGGGGGCGTGAGGTGGAAGGCAGACGGTTCGCCGTGTGCTTGGATGAAAGGGAGCAGTCAGTTTTGAGCGTCAGTTTTGCTGCTTGGACGGTTCGCCTTGTGCTTGGACAATTTACTGGTGCTCCAAAAGGGAGCAGCCAGTATAAGGGCACAAACCCTGGGGAGAGGGGGAAGGGAGGGATGTGGAGGAAGGAGGGGGGGACAGATTGGTGGGTGCAGGTTTTGGGGGGGGAAGCAGTAGGAGGAAACAAACGGTTGTATCAACATGTATGCAACTGATAGAGCATACATGTTTGGTACACGTTCGGTTCATGTCCCGAGGTTAAATGCTATGAACCGTTACAAACCTCCCTCTCTTCTGTTTTTTTCTCGTTTTTATTCTAATGACAGACACGTACCAGCAGCCTTATCCTCTTTTCGCGCAGCCCGAACCGTCAATCCCTTCGCCCCTCTCCTTTTTCTTGCTCCATTCGCTGCAACACCAGCACCACCCACCAGCAGCAGAACCAGCTGAAGCATCCATAGGACTTCCTCCTCCTTCTCCTCCTCTCGTCCATCCTCACTCCCTCCCTCCTGTCCGTCCTCCTGCTGCCCCTCCTCATCCCCGTTATTGGCATCTTCACTCTCCTGCTGTGCCTCTACTGCTGCCTCTATAGCCCAGACTTGCTTGTGCGCCAACAGTGCTGCCTTGTACCGTGCCCTCTGCAAGAAAAAAAAAAAACAGGAAAGGAAGGAGGGAAAGGGGAAATGAAGAGTGTGGATGGGAAAGGGTGAAACAAACGCGAGTACCAACGTAATACACCACCTAATATATGGCCCACACTGGCTTGTGCACTGATAGTCCTACCTTGTAGCGAGCCCTGAAGCAAAAGAGCAAGGAAGTGGGAAGGGAAAAGGAAGAGTGCAGATAGAAACACCTCGAGTAACCTGACACACAAAAGGTTACCTTTCGAAAAAGCACGAGAAGGTAACCTTCTCATGTGGAGGTACGGTAACCCTGACAGAGAGAACACCTCGCGTACCCAGACACACACGAGCTCACCTCCACATGGAAGAGCACGAGAAGCGTGGCACATGCCCCCTCTGGCTGCAGCCGCCCCCTCCCAGAGAGAGAGGAGACATATGTACCACACATGAGCCCAGATGACCCTCTATACACACGAGCTCACCTCCACATGGAAGAGCACAAGAAGCGTGCCGCATGCCCCCTCTGGCTGCTGTGCCGTGCGAGTTAACAAGCACGCTGTAGCACTGCTCCCTCCCTGCCCCTCCAGGGAACGCCAGCACCTCGGGCACTGCCTGGTGTCTCACTGCTAGCCAGAAGAGCTCCGATACAAGCACATCCACTGCTTCTGTATA